TGAACGCGGCCGTCGGAGAGGCTCGTCGAAAGGGCTTGAAATTAATTCCCCTGTTGTCTTGATGACGCATACCATTTGATCCTTGTTCATGGCACCGTCGCGAGGCGACACGTCGCAACGGCTTGTCGGTTCATTATCAGAGAGCAGCGCCCCGAATTAAACGAACTTCCGCTGCCAATTAGAAAATTTACCCGACACTAATCCCGCATCGCGAATTTCAAGCTCGCCAAAAATCGAAGACATAAGATGTGAAATCGAATCGTTTGAGAAATTCATGAAAAAATGAGAAACGTCGAAACGTTTTTGTTACCGGGAATGATTAGAGAGAACTTGCAGAGGCGAATGGAAGCACGCGGTTAAAATGTTTCGTGCGAAATTCTGCGGAACATGAGATCACGTTTTCAGAAAATTGTTCGGCCTTTAATCCCGGCGAGCCCGATCATCCGAACGCTTTTCAATTTTCTTCCCGCAGCCCCTTTACTCGAGGCGGCCTATCCCCTCAGTGAACCGAACCGATTAATCGGAAGGATCCAAATAAACCGGCTCCGACAGAGAAACAGAGGCTGGCTTCTCTCCAAGAACGCTTCACTATCATTCACCTTTGCTCTACCCCTCTGTGCCTTTGCGATTGAAAAGTTTCCGTGCGATCCTCGTAGAATTCTTAAGCTCCTCCTTCTGTAACATTTACTTAACAGAATAATTTATATTATTTATATAACTTGTATTATTTGTTCATTTTTATTCCACGTTACGAATTAAATTGCTGCATTGAACTCTCCAGTTTCATGAGTCATCTTGTATGCGTATGATCAAGCCTTCCCAAAAGGAAACTACTGCTCATTCATGTTCATTACTTAAGCGAATAAAAAGAAACACTTAGCATCAATCAATCATTGAGAAGGGGAATGATGAAACGTTTTATTACAAATGATCACTGTCCGCGAAGCGACGAAATGATAAATCGATATAAAACCAACGTCCCGATACGTTCATTCGTTGTCCAATTTTTTTACGGCTCATTTGAATTTATAGAGACAAGCTTCTCTGTAACTCGAGCCATTCATCAAACTAATTGCACCACCCGCGGGGATCGCGGGAGGATGATTTCTAAGAAGCGAATTAATTGCCACAGTCGCGACTTGATTCATACTCGGTTTTGCAAAAAATTTGCCAACAATTCATATCCGTTTTAATGTTACAGCACGTTTCGATTTTTCATCTTGTATCAAAAATTGCATAACAGCCGGGTTTCTTTTTTTCATCGCCTTTCTTGTAACGTTTCAAATACGAATTAAAAATTTGAATCGCCTGTACGATAGACGGCAGGCTATTAAAATTTTCATTAACGGAAAGAGTGGAACATTTGCGCAGTTCCTCGGCGTATCACGGTCGGAATCATGTCGAATAAATATGTGCAAAATACTGTTGTGTAAATAACTGTCGTTACAGCGCAGCGGCCGAGATCGTTGGAAATTAAACGCGGGATTAAATTGCAATCGAGAGCTCGAGCACGTTTGTTATTTGACGGACATAATGACGGTAATTTAATGGCCGGTACGTGAAAATTTCAAGAGTCAACGTTTTCAATTCCGGGATTTACCCGGAATGAACGCGTATCTCACGCTGCTATTGCTTTTAGATTTAGTTACACAGTGTCAACGTGCTGCAGAATACATTTGTGTACCCTCTGTATAAAAAATATAAAAATCAAGGGAATTCTGAAAAGCGTATGGAAAAATTCGTCCAAAAATATAGAAGAGTGACGACGGGTAAAGCAAATGGGTTTTGGGGAAGAATTTTTTACACAAACAGATTTGATATATACAAGTCGGATCTGTCGAGCTTAAAAATATGCTTAATAGTTTCACTCCTGAGACAAACATTTCCCAACGCAAATGTTATGCCGATCGAACTCCGCGGAACGACCCTAGGGCAAAGAATACGGTCGAACCCCCGTGTCTTAATTTTTGCCAGTCGATTACACGGGACTGTTGCTCTTGTGAGAGGACGCGGGGGCTAATTTCACGGGGCGGCGAGCCGTGCGACGCGGCGAAACGACGCGTGACCCAGTTAACTCGCCCGTTTCCCGGTGCATCGACCCGGGCGCGGGATGCGCGTTTATTAGGGACGGATGATAGGGCCTCGGTGCCGTCGGAACGAAAAGGGTAAACGTCCCTTAATTAAGTTGTCTGCCGCTTCGGACTCGATCTGTCCGAGCTTCCTTATCGATGTTCCTGACGCGCGGAGACGTCGACTCCTTCCCGATTCCCGCGGGAGACGTTCAATAAAAATTCCTCGAGAGCCTCGAGACTGGCAGGAAATGTCGTCACGCACGCGGGCTCTTCGCGGAATCGAACTGGAATTTCGTGGTATGCGAGACGGTTTTTTAAATTCCTCGCATAGTAAACCGATTGTTTTTGTGGAATGACGAGTTCTAAAAATATCTGACTATTGTTTAATCGAATCTGAATGTACCATCAGAAGTTTTTGCGAATTTCAATCTGAAATGACTTAAAAATATAGGGTAGTTTCTGGATGTTGTATTTCACATAAAAATCTACTGATGGAAGAGGAGCAGTGTATTTTTTTTGGAAACGAGTTCAATAATCTGCCACCTGTTAGGTTTAAAAACGCTGGGCATCGTTAGAGGCACGGTTGCCAGAAAAATTGCACAACTATAAACATCGTCCGATGATCTATACATTTATATGCTGCGCTGGTGAAAACTGGGCACCGTAAATAACCTCGTCGAAGGTAGTCGTGAGGATTTATAGTGTCGATTTTTCGTTGGCTAGGAAGAGGGTTTATTTCTGCGATAATAGCGAGGAGAGATTCCTTAGACCCTGATGGAAGCTCTTCATCTCGATCAAATCTTTCTATCCAATAAAATTTCTAGTAAATATATTTAACATCCGCCATTTGTGAAAATGCCTCTAAAAATCAAATATTTCACGATTATTATAAAGAGTTGCAATTATAGTACGTCAAGCATGAGTCAATTTTACAAATCGTAGAACCTAAGAAAAAATCAGACAGATATTTGTAATATCAATTTAGAAAACAAAATCTAGATAGTAGTTTGTATTAAATAATAATTACGTGCATTTCTTTTTCACTTTTGATCTTTTGTATGCCTTTAGGTATATTCCAAGCTTTCTGTGAAATATGAAATCTTGTTATAAATAATTACGTGTGGCTATTAAAGCTAGAAGTGAGAAATAAAAAAAGAATAATGTCCTCGGAACGAGACTCTGGTCCATTATATTCTCATCAATTCCTTCATTCGCTGTGAAATTATAAGTTCCATGGAGAATGATCCGCGCGTCGTTTCTTAAACGCGATCGATCACAGGGAACGCATACCACCGCGTCGACGAAGGGACGGTTCTTCGACGACGATGGCGCTCGTGGAATTTCCATCGAGGAGCTCTCGAGAGGTGTCGCGAATTGCTCCCATCGCGCGGAATTTTCATCACGGCTCGGGTCAGACGGTCCACATAATTTCCATTCCTTCGTTTGTCTAATTACTGCGCCAAGGTTCTGCGTTATCGACGTCGACCAGCGCCCGATGATTACTCTCGGCTAGAAAAACTTTCTTAAGAGCTGTGCGGTCACGAGAAAGTTTTCACGACGCGCCTTCGAAATTTTCTGAAACTTCTTCGAGTTCTGCTACCGATCGACGTTAGAAAACCAGTTGCGAATGCCTTGCGGCAAACCAATTACAATTTCCACTGATTCGAACTTCTTGATTGAAGTTTACGAACATAGCAGGGGATTACGAATTCCTTTCTTGATACTAATTAGGTGATCTCATCAGCCAGACAATTTTTGAACTGAAGAGAAACATTAGTCAAAATCTACTGAGAGGAGCATAGTTAACACGTTGTACAGCAAGGGTATTCTGTTTTTTTTTTTATGTATGGGAAAGCTTCATAGCGTGATATAAATGGTGTTGAATACGCCGGTTACACGATACAATTGAAAGGACATGTTTCTTCTATAAAAAAATACCGATGACTTCGAAACGAAAAAAAGTTGTTGTTACAGGATATTCCTCATTCGAAACTATTCACATCATTCCATGAAACTGTTATATAACATAAAAAAACAGAAGAGATATTTAGGCGACCACGTTTAGGCGAGACATCCTGTATACATACCTACATATAGAGAGGATCAGATGGATGCTCGAATCTGTTGCTGTCGCTTCTCACGACAGAGAACGCACATTAGCGAGAATCCGGCCGTTAATGTTCCCGGAAGGTGGAAAACGGCGAGTAAAACTGGATGTATCGCCCGGGGTTGAGGGTGGAAACGGTTCGCGAGCTGGGGTTTAAAACTAAACGCGGTTAAATCGAGTGTGTTATACGCCGGAACAGCGTCGCGTGCACCGCCGGCATTAACGTGACGGTGTAATGTATTCCAGGTTCCGGCCGGTCCTCGGCTTTTCCGTTGCTTCGTTGTTTCGCTCCCGTGTTAACCCTTTAATCGCGAGCCATCAAAAAACTGTTTGCATCTAACCGAGTAATTTTAAATTAAAGAAAAGCTCGAAGCAATTTTATTTCCCACTGTTTCCAAGCGCCAGGTTTATAATTTAAAAAATAACCGTACGCTTATTTTAATGTTTTTATTATGTGATTTACATTTAAGGTTCAAAAGGTTAAACGTTTAACATTCTAATATATCGAGAACATTGTAAAACTTTATTCATTGCGTATTTAACAATCTTCTTCTAATCGCAAATATTTACACTCCCCCTCACATGCGAGCAAAGCAACGCGACGGTCCCTTATTCCGCAGCTTCCCACTGAACCTCAACTTGATTAAATTCGAACCCGCGCCGGATCCCCGAAACCTTTCCTTGGGACTTTCCCACGAATTTCGGGGGAATTGCACACGCGTCGAGGTCTAAACCGTGACCGAATCGTTGCTCAAGCCGGTGATTAAACCCAGATGGTGAACTTTCTCTGTGAACTAATTCCTGATCCTCTTCTGTTTCAGATTTCTACCAGCCTCGCCCTGCCCGGTCTTCCTTCCTGTCGGGTGAGTAATAATTTGTGACACTTTTAACAATATTCGATATCTCTCAAGAAATTTATTGCTCAAAAGTATTTTCTAATGGTTTAAACTACGTATCAGATTGTAAAATATGATATGATAAAACTTTATAAAAATTAAGATAGCATTCATTCATGCATGCAAAACTGATAAAATTAATTTGCATCTTAATTGATAATGAAAATAATAGACGAAATCATACGTGGCTCGTTTCAGTAGTAAAAATCAATAATTTCTCGGGCGACTTTGATCAAGTCCTCTTCAATCACATAATTCTTTTTGACTTTTTGTTTCTACTTGATATTTATAAATTAGTAGCTACGTATTTTATGGGAAAAGTTTGTCAGAGGTCTTGGTTGGACAGCGGGTAATTAGACAGTCATTAAACATGAACCCAGTAGCGGTAGTTCACGTTGGAACTCGCGATATTATTTACTCGGCAAACTGCTTTCGGTAGCCGTGTCGCTTATGCACTTACACAAACCCGGGCAACTACACAGCTTCTTAAAGTTCTGTTTGTCTTTGCTCCCTGGGAAACTTCGCTTTCGACGCAGCTCTCATCTTTTATTATACCAATAATTGAATACCCTTCTACACAGTTTTTGTAAATTCACGAGACTAATATTCACTGATACAATGTGTAGTCTAACCCTTTATTTGGCAAGCATTGAAATTTCAAATGAATAAATTTGGGAGTTATCCAAGTTATGGAATTTCTTTCACATGCAAGCTGCTAGAAACACATGTTGCTTGAGGTCAATATTACCAGATAAAGGGTTAAAAGATCGATAAAATTAGATAGATATTGACATTTCGTGTTCCTGTTTGGCGAGAACGAAGTAGGAAAGACTTACGTAGAAGATAACGAGTTGGTGGAATGGATCATTGAAATAATAATAGACTCCTCATTTTATTTATTTACAAGAAAATTGAATGTGTAGAAATGACAGAGAATGCCGTTTGTGAGGTAATTCAGAATATCGAAAACTGAATATGTAATTCAATTTTTATCATCATATCATATCAATGTTCATCTAAAACACATCATTTGACATTTGAAATGGAAAATATTCCTCTTGCTCAGTATTGAAATAACACAAAATTGGACGTTCATCACATCAGAAAAAATTTACTACCGTCTGGCCGATTACAAAACGAAAGAAAATTAATTCATCCGAACGGAGAAAAACATCAGTCAAAGAGTTCTAGAAAAGAAATGCGAGTAAGCGTTCCTATCGAACGGCAAAGCGACGACGGGTAGAAGAAAAACGCGAGAACGATTGCATTCGGAATTCGCGGAGAGACGAGACCGTGACAGTTAGAGGATATCATTCCCAAAGCAATTTTTAACGATGCGCCACCCTCGGCTGTTTTTTTTTTTTTCGAAACGCCGCCCTTACCGTGATCGTTGGATGCGCGAGGAAACTGCAATTCTGTGCGGCAAAATAAATTGAAGGAGTCTGGTGTTCGGGGTAAACCATGACGATTCCACAAGATCCCAGAGTACTTACAATTGTATAGCTGGGATAAGATATTTGTATTGCGATCGAATATTTATATTATTTCTTATATACTGTTGTTAAGTCAGTCTTGAAATATTCTTTCTATATAGACTATTGTGTGAACGGATATAAAAATGTATTATATAGATATAAAGATGCCTTTGTGTGCTATAGAGATGTATTATAGACGACTTTTCCCTGAAGTTTTCAAAATCATATACACCTCGGGAACAAAATCCTGCAGGAATTCTTTTCACTCTCGTACGACAGCATGAAGAGTCGTCTTTTCCCTGTTATTTTTCTCGGGTTTTCCCTTGAAGCGGCACAAGTTTTCCCTGGGAAGATTTCTTTCCAGGCGATCGGTCGCCAGCTGGTGTGCTGGATTCGACGCGATCCCTGTGAAATAACATAGGAAATAATGGCCGCCGTAGGAACAACGTCCTCTTGTCGCAATAAGGAGGAACGTGACAGCCGTTATCGAGGGAGACGTTGTCTGGAAGGAAATCACGGGTGCTCCTCCACGAGCGATGGACAGGTCCTGGAAAAAAAGGACGGGTTGATAGGGCTCGAAGAAATGGTGGCTGAAGACGAATGAAGAATGCATCAGACTTGATCAAGTGGTTGAACCAAAGCAGTTTCGATGGCAAAATGTGAGAAAACAAACAGGAATGTAATGTAAATATATCACAATATGAAAGAAATAAAGGATGCAAACATTTAAAGGACAAGATCAATAGAACTATGAGAAATATAAATGTAGATAAGGAAGTAGATATTATTATTAAGACAAATTTTTATTTGATTCTCTGAGAAATAAAGAAGAAGCGAATGACGTATATTCATATTTTGCACTATTTTTGCCTGGTTATCGATAAAACTGTAACGAGCGACAACAATTTACTGATAAATGTTAGAAAAGTCATGTAGCTCTTTAGAGAATTCGACGCAAAGTACAATGGTTGTTCGAACTTATAAAACAACAGAAACCAATCAATTAAAACAAACATAAACAACGGAGTAACAGTTGAGCAACTTCTCCATCAGGCAAGGTGAATTTGTAAATACAGCGAAAAAACGCGAGTAACAGGAAAAGACAACAAGAGATCGAAAAGCCAACGGTATCCGGGAGAAGGGGGATTACGGCGTAGGAAGGGACCGACGGGCAATGAAAGAAACCGAAAAAGGATGGGTGGAGGTGTAGGTGAAAGCGGGTGGTCGGGTTGCGGGAAGAGGGTGCAAGCAAGCAAAAGCATGGAGAGAGAATCTACATCACCTTGCACATTCCACTTGACGGCACTTCTGCGTCGTCGCCTGTTACTTCTTTCTGCTTCCGGTGGCGCGCTCCATTCCACCCTCAACCTTTCCCCAACCCCAACCCTCTCCGTTCCGGCGTCGCGACGACGAATCCCGTCGGGGTTGCAGTTCGGGGGTGGAGGGTAGAAAGTTCCGCGTGGCTCGAATCGACGAACGTCGACCGGGTTTAAGCAGCCTGCCACGCATCGACGGCCACCAAAAGGTGACTCCGTCACGACGCGTGACGACGACGAGTCTTTTCGCGTTCGAACGCCTCCGAGCAACGACGCTGCTTTTGATGCGCTTTTTCCGCGAGCTTGATCAACCAACATTTGGATAGAGCTGGCTGAACATCCTGATTTAAGGATGTCTCCTGCTGATTGCATAGAAAGGTTTTGATCAGAGGAGTTCTCGTCGTTCGATGCGAGAATTTAATTTAGTCGTGCAACAAGTATAGCCTGTATGCATGCATTCCTTGTCGATAAGATGATATCTTCTAACGAGATTAACAAACTTATTTTAATTTTTATCAAGTCACGTCCTGACAAGAGCAGTTTGTAATTCAACCACGACGCAAGATTTTCTCTTTACTGCCCATAAAAATCGTTATCACGCCTCACTAGTAATAAAGTAACCTCGTATTACTGTAGAATAACGTAGCCAGCGTTCCTTGCAAAATTAGTCTATCTGGCAGGGTCGTAAACGCAAGGGTAAGCTACCACTCTCAACTCTTCCCCTTATCTTACGTATAAGAAATGAAGTTCCCTTTTATTCTCTCGCTAACTATAACAATTTCGCAAATTTATTCTCTGTAGAATCATATAAAAATATGTTAAAGCGTAACGTATGGAAAGACATTTCGCGAATTCTTAAAACCGCGGATTTCTGGAACGGAGATGAAATAATAAAGCGCTGCAGCTATGCGGTACTATCGTGCACGTCATCCGGAGCTGCATCCCGAGCTGAACGATCCTACGGGGTGCAGTAAAAGCGCGTAACAAACCCTCCTTCGCATCGATCCGTTCTCAATGCATGAAATTAAGACGCTCCCTGCGTTGATAACGCAGCCTAGGTGCCGGTTTATCGGGCGCGAGTGGGAAATCTGCAATGCGGACGCAACGCCATGGCATGGCGCATCGCGTCGTGTCCGCCGCGGAAAAATTACGACCCGCCCCGGGGAAACGGGGAAACTTCCTTTTCGGACCCGGAAACCAACTTCGTGTCCGAACGTCTATATCCCTGGCTCCGGTTGAAATGTAAATTTCGCGGCGAGTGGACTAGTTCCGCGCATCGCTGAGATTCTGGCCATTTCTGCATTTCATTTCGCTCAAGGGTAGTTCTGATGAAAATAAAGAATAATGTTAGTAGACAGATTTCATGTTACACTTCTGGTAATGCGAATTTTTAGTTGCAATTATAAAATCGACTAGACTTTTATAATCGTGAAATGAATTTGCTGTAAATCGAGTTATAAAAAGGAAAACTTAGTGTACATTCGTTTGGAAACTTTTTTTATCACTGTGCGCGTGTATTATGCTGATTGCGAATGCATTTGATTAAATCGCTGTATTAGCCATTTCTGTATTTTATTTCGTTCAGGAGTAGTTCTGATGGAAATAAAAAATAATATTAGTAGACAGATTTCATGTTACACTTCTGGTAATGTGAATTTTTAATTGCCATTATAGAATCGACCAGAATGTGTTATAATTGTGAATTAATTTTGCTGTAATTAAACTTATGCTTAGTGTACATTCGCTTGGAAACTTTTTTTATCAATGTACGCGTGTATGATGCTGATTGCAAATACATACATCTGATGAAACTGAGGTGACGTAGATGAGAGCGTTAGATAGCGTATGACTTAACGTTGGAACGGGTGCCGGTGGTATAACTATGTTAGAGGCACATTTTTATGTGGGGCGTGGGAAGGGTTAGAATTAAAAAAACTCCGTGCTTAGAAATGCGAGATGGGAGATTCGTAAAGGTCAGGGTGAAAGATCCTCCATGCTGGAAAACTGTGGGTGGACGGGGAAGTTACTACTAACCATCGTGTACTATACGTGCATATGTGACTCGGTGGAAAAGTCAAGGTGAAAAAGTTTTGTCCCTCGTTCGATCAAGATTCGGCGCGAATTCGAGATTAGGGAACTTTGATCTAGAAAACTTTGAAGATACTGCTTTCAAATT